ATATATATAAATAATTATATCACAAATCCATATGTACCTATCTCCCTGCCATGATAATTAACTTTAGCTAGTGTTTTTTTTTAATTTTTAAATTATTATTTATTTCTTGGGAAAATACTGTATTAAAAATTCTAAATTAAAACAGAATACTTTTTAATTTAATGTTATATTTTTCTTTTTTCTTTCTTTATTTTTATTAGAGCTTTATAGTTATACATAGTAGTTAGGTTCATCCCAACAAAATCATACATGCATGGTATTCAATTTCAGTTCATGATCTCCACCTTTTTGTTCCTGACATCCCTGTTCTCCTTCCTCTACTCTGCTAGATTTCCTTTCACTCATCCATTTATTTGTATCTGATTGGTTCTTTTTCCTTAAAGGTGAAATTCCCTGTGTATATTTACATATGCATATAACATGATTTTTAAAAAATCTACTGTTTTTAAAAACCCAAGTGATTCTTCTAATGCTCAGCCATGATTAAGAATAGAAAGAATATTTCAGATGATACTGATATTGACAAAAGTGGAAATTTGAAGGCCCTGTGATTCTAAAACATTACCTAATAGGGTATCCATTAAGCCATAATGGCACTCATTAGAATGTAATGTGGCACATGTATTACTTGTTGGCTTCAATTTGGAAATAGGCATTGTGATACCTGGGAAAAATTTAGAGAGAAGCTTAGTGGTTTTCTGTTCTGGATATTTATAATTTGACTCAAAAAACAGTATCATGCCCAGCCACCTAAGTTAACTCAATAAAGCCTGGCTCAGAGGTTAAAAAAAAAAAAAAAGTCAGATGAGAGACATTAGGACACAAAATAGATTACAGTTGATAAATGAGAGAAGAAATCTTTCTAAAGAGTTGGTATATACTATCATGAGATTGATGAAGAACATGCAGTGAACTAGTGCCAAATTTTATCTCAATCCATAATAGAGAAGTTTCGTAGGATATTCAAAAGACACATAAATGCACACATATCTTCTTAAAGTCAACATTGGAGTTGCTACCTCAAATAGTGTAGAATCAATAATGCCCTGGCTCCCGAGTGACAGACTCTTGGAAAACAATTTCATCTAGAGTTGGACATGGATGATCTTGCCCAAATGCCTTCTTGATAGAGGAATCTCTTCTAGAGCACAGATCTCATCTGGTATTATCTCTTTGAACATTATAGCTGCAGAGTCTACTGCTCAAACACAGTCTCTTTGAACATTATAGCTGCAGAGTCTACTGCTCAAACACAGCGTGGCCCATATTAGAATGGCGGCCCTCTTTTAATGAGCTGAAATCTCTCTCTCTCTCTCTCTCTCTCTCTCTCTGTGTGGTACTGGGGATTGAACCCAGGACCCTGTGCATGCAAGGCAAGCACTCTACCAACTGAGCTATATATCTTCACCCTGAAATCTCATTCTTTAACACCGCTTTAATAAAAGAAGATATTTATGATGCCCCTCATTCCTCATGTTGCTTCAGATATATATAAATATAAAACCAGACTCAAATTTCTTGTGCTTTTAGGTCTCATCAATCATAAAAATCAAAATAATCTTACAAATTGATGTGAAAACCCCAATACCTATTCAATAACATCACCAACTTGTTGATTTAACTTACTGATTAATGATGTATATATTTTTTGAAACAAAATTCCTTACATTGTGCTTAAGGATGGAAAGATGTACCCCCTGGTCAATTTATTTAATTTGGTTCACTAATTAGTACAGAAATGCCTTTTTACATTAATTATGTTATACCAAAAGGTATTAATTATGTTAAAGTGTCTATTTCATGGGTTTAGGACAGTCAGATTTCATATTTAACCCAAAATGCCAGCAATTAGTCCCCAATTTCCCATTTTAATGAGACATCTCTTGGCATCTTTGTAAAGATGTTTTGTGTGCTTAGGAATTAAGGTCAGAGCTATACTGTTACTGCAATCTTCAATAAATGGGCATCTAATGCAATTATTGCTGGAACAGGGAACAGAACAATCTTTCATTGTTATTTATTACCATACTTACTGCTAATGAACTGCTGTTGCATCCTGATGCATACAATGACAGGATCCAAGCAATCGCTCTTCTGCAAAATGTGAACTGACTGTTGGGGTGTAGACTGTCTTCAATTCAGGCACCTGGGTGTAACAGTGAGGCTTTTTCGATACCATTTTTTTTTTTCTGTTCTAGCTTCTATGAACCTCTGTATACCCCTTATCACCTGTGGGATTGCTGACGTCAGCTGGCCACCTAGATCAGTGGCTCTCAAAAGTCAATGGGAATTATAATCATCTGGAGAGCTTGTTCATAATGGCCTGCTTTTTGGACCCCATCCCAGACCTTCTAATTTGCTTAGTCGGGGGCTGAATTCATAAATTTGCATTATTAATGAGCACTCTGATATAAATGGTGTGAATATGTTTATCACCTTCTAAATTTATTATTGACATATGTAACTTAGTAAACTGTAGGCAACCTAGTTTGAGAAACTCCAGTATTCTTTTCCAATCTATTACCTTTAAATGAGTCATCTTTGGATATTCAGGAAAATCCCTAATAACATCTTGAACCACTATGGCTGGTTCTCAAAAGGCTTTGACCTATTAAACAAATTTATTTCAAGGGACAAAGACACTGAAGATGATGTTTCATTGATTTCCAGAGCATTCTGGAAGCTGTGGATTCCAGTGCAATCCCATTTTCAGGTGGTATCCACGCTGGCAAATACACATCATGTGGCCACTGGAAAGGAGAAAAGTGTTGAAAAAGAGAAATCAAATTAAGAGGCAAGACTGACATTGTTTTTTTCCCTCAGAGTAGTTATTACTGTAGACTTCTTAGTCTAAAAGTTAACCATCTTGCGTTTGCCTAAAGAGGGCAATGTAAACCTGAAGATAGCACTAGAAAGTTAATAAGCCAGAATGCCTCTTCCTACTTACTCATTCTTTTTTTCCTCTGTTAATTCTTATTGATAGCTGTTGGAATGAAATACAATGGCTGATTAGGATTATTTACAACATGGAGGGGCTCGCTGGCATTTATTTTGGGAGAAGTGATTAAAATGTTAAGTATCTTGGCATAACCCAGCAGCAATCATCTGATTGGAACTTGAATTTAATATTATAGATTACCAACTCCAATTCTTTTATATTTTACCATGCATATAAAATTTCCCAGTATAAAACATTCTTAATTTATGTTATTGGGGAGTTGAATTGAATAATACTACAGATGACCAACCCCCATTATTCATATTTACTATTCTCTCTCTCTCTCTCTCTCTCTCTCTCTCTCTCTCTCTCTATATATATATATATATATATATATATATATATCCATCCCTAAATGGAAAACATTCTTAATGTACTAGGTTTGGTGGCACATGCCTATAATCCCAGCAACTCGGGAGGCTGAGACAGCAGGATTGCAGGTTCAAGGTTAGCCTCAGCAACTTAGTGAGACCCTAAGTTAACAGTGAGGCCTTAAGCAACTCAGTGAGACTCTGTCTCAAAATAAAAAGTTAAAAGGTCTGGGAATATAACTCAGTGATAAAGCACTCTTCCATTTAATTCCCAGCACCCCCACCCCAATGGTCTTATGGATTCTCATTTTTATTTAAGAGAAGAATAGAATTATTGAGCCTTTCAACATTATAAAGAACTGAGCATTGCAATAACCCCCATGATTTTATTTTTAGAAATTATTCGATTTAAAAGTGCTCAGGCTCATTTCTAAAATATACTAGAAGTGGAGGATGTAAAAATAATTAATAAGGATATTTTAAAATAATGAAACTTGCATAATAATTATTGGCCTCACCTTTATGGCTATTATTATAAGAGTATAAAAAGAAAGGAGGGAAATAGAAATTTCTGATGAATGGGAATGACTTTTCTCGATGGGGTTAGCATGTCCAATCTTGCTCTTGCTAATATACATGTCTTTGTACAGACAGTGTGTGTTGCATTCATACTGATCAGTGGCTTTTTATTTCATTTTGCATCTGTGGTTTGCATGTATGCAGACCCCTGAAGTAGTGTATACACAACCAAAATGAAGACAGCATCTGGAAGTCTTAATGAGCTATAAACTTAACACTATTCTTAGAACCTAGAAACTCGTAAATGAATTTTTATTTCAGAAGGATAAGCTTGTTGCTTTTGAATCATGCATTCATCCCTGAATTTCTCTTATTTATGGTCTCCAATAATGCTGTGGCTGAAGTCCTGCTCTGATTTCAAATGCAATTCTCGTGCCTGACATGATTCTGAGCATAATATCAGCCTTAACCAGTTACTGCAAGTGTCGTTAACATTTTACTAAGGCAGCAGCTGAGATTAAATAAATGAGGACAAATGAGTGTACATGCTTACATTTGGAGGATTTGGTCAAGCATCCCTATTCCTTCAGTCCTCGTATTTAGGGGAAATTTTGGATGGTTTCTCAGGTCATGAGGCTGACAACATGGCTGTCAATACAACCTGCAAATTCTGTCCTTCCTTCCCTTAGCTATCATGTTGATGTTATCCTTGCTATTGAGGACGCAGAGTCCCAGTGAGTCAGTATTCTGTTGATGCTTGTGGTTGGATGGAGGTTCACAGGGGATCCTGATTCTTCAGTGTGGGTATAGGTGTACACCATCTTACCTGAAGAAAACTGCACCCATTGGCTGCACTGTGGCTAGAAGTTAGAATGGCTTATAGGCTTCCAGTAGAGCAATTATAGGAAGGACATAAATAAAATTAGTGTGCTGTAGAGCAAGCCTGAGTATAGAGAAGGAGACAAGAATGGACATCTTAAGACCTAAACTGGAGTGAAATAATTCTCACAAATTAGTTCAACATTTGCATAACATTCCAGTAGTGTTGTCTGGATGTAGTTAACTAGGAGTCTAAAGTACTGAACTCTGGTACCAAATCAGCACTAACTTTGGGACTGTGTGAAAGGTATTCCCCCGGGTGGCGGGGAGCCCAAGAACTATTCTGTCTTTAACTGCTTGAAAAAGCACAATGAGTTTTGCATTGACAAGAATAAAGACTTATCTGGGGGTCTAAATGGGTCTCTTTGTGAATAGAGGGACATATGGAAAAATCAGACCTCCAAAAAAGAAAGCACATCTAACTAATTTTGTCACCACCTTGCTTCTACTTTGTCACTTTCCTTCTCTTTTCAAATGGAAGATCTCTTATTTTTTTTATGCTGATTGAGAATTTGGGTTTTTATTGCTTCTACTCAGCAGACATTATATGTCTTATAGTTTTATGGATCCCTAATTTATTGAAGCACATGGAACTCTGGAACTAGTCCTTTATTTTCTTTCTATCTGAAAAAAAACTGAACCCTAAAGAAAAGTGTCAGTGTAGTTCTTTCACTATTGAATATCCGTTCATTGATTTAGCAAAAATAAGTGCTTGGCTTGCAATGTACCCAGTAAGGCACTGTGGGGAGACAGAGATGACTAAGATGGGATCCTGCATGATGTTAACAAGGTAGAAGGAAGACAGCATTGTTTCAGAGATGCAAGCCAGTTGCCGAGGGAGGTATGCCCTGTTCATGTGTCGTTCATGTGTTTGGTATTTATTTTTCTCCATACCTGTGCTAGAAAAAACAAATACAAAAGAATAGTGGAGAGCCTTGGTCAAGCCCAAAGAGTTTCATAATAATTATTTCCTAGATTTACTATTAAACTCTGCAGCAGCTCTGTTTTTTACTCCAATTTTTGAACTCATGAACTATTATGATAACCAGCTATGTATTTCTCACTTTTGAAATAGAATACCTAGTAGTCTAACTTTTTTACCCCTTAGGAAAAAGTCATTCATATACTATCATTGATTTTTATCACCACAAAGATTAAGATTCATGAGTCATGGAGAGAACATTTGCTTGCAATTAAAAAAAATTAACAAAAATGCTGCAATAAAATGAATGGAAGTATGAACCCATCTGTGTCTCTAATGATAATGACAACTTTGTGTTTATTGTAAACAACGTGGTTTGTTCAAGTCCACTTTCAAAGGAGAGCTTCTTCATTCATAGATCTTTATGTAACACACACACACATCCTGCCACACATGTGCATGTGATATGTATGTCTTTAATATTCATGTAGATTTCTTGAAAGGAGGCCAATATAGGTGACCCTCCAATGTATCCAATATTTGGAATGTCACTTTATCTATCACTTGAAAGAGTTTAGGTCTTTATTACCTTTGGCACTTGGATCAGTGCCACAGTCTCCTCCCAACCTGGTATTTGCCCATCAATTCCAATCTTTGAAGTGCCCTCTGGTTATTTTTTTTAAATGACTTAATTCATACTTTCTCACTCAATATCTCCTGAAGTAACATGTCTTCTACAAAATGTAGTTTGCTAAACTCTATAGCAATACAGTAAAGATAATTTTCCAATCTTGTCCCTCACAGAATTTGATGATCCTTCCAAGGCAGGGTAATCAAATGCCACCTCCCTTTTCTATTGAAGCTTCCTTATCTTAGAACCCCAGGTCAAGTCTCCCCACTTCCTGAGGCCTGGCTGAAAGATCAACCTACTCATCTCCACCACAGGCATTTATTTTGCATCACATCTTTGGCACGCATTGGTAAATACAATATTTTGTGAATCCTTCTGTCATCACTTATTGTCTTTGAGCTTGTGAAGGGGTGACTGGGTGGTTTGTAAAGGGCTTAAAAATTATTATATAAATACGCCTTGGTTAGGTGATTAGAGCTTCAAGACTGTGAGGTGACCATCTTCTTTCACCTACAAGTCAGTGTGTGATTCCCCTTCTTTCCATTTCTGCAGAAAGCTGAGTAGTTGAGTTGGACAGAGTAGCTGAATTGCTAACAGACTAGAAAACCTCTTTTTATCAAGCTTTAATTTAAGTCTTATCTATTAACATTTCTGGAGCCCACATCCTGTGCAAGGCACATCCAGTTTGAATTTTAAAAGGGTGGTGGGGGGGAACTCTGCAGTCCCTAAGCCAATAAATAACTCACCTGAAGGTCACCGGAATACCCCTCCCTCCTTTCCCACAGGGGGGTCTGGGAGGAGGAGAGAAGGGGATGTAGAGGCCCAGCAGTTACCTAAGTGGAAATGCAAAGGCTAAGGCTATTGGCAACTGTCTCCAGGCGTTGTCCCCTGAGCCTGATGCTGCGCCAGGACGGAGAAGGCTGTTCCAATATAACTGTCCTAAAGTACTGCGGTGGCCCCCTCCCCCGCGCCTGAGAGGGAAGTGGGGACGAGGTTGGCTTTCTTTGCACCCTGTCTGGGCGTGGGCCCCGCCGCAGCTCCGCGGAGCCTCGGTGTCTCTTGCAAGGGGGGCGGGGGGAGCCGCGGCGAGCAGCCCTGGGCTGCGGCTTCCTCCCCACGCCGTCTCCTGCGCACCGCCGACCAGGACGCGAGCCCGAGCCTGGTCCCCACACCGCGGCTTGCCCGGCCTCCCGGCCGACCCCAGGTAACTTTTCTGCCTCACGCAGAGGGAGGATTCCAAGGGGGTCTCTGGTTTCCGAGGTGCGAAGGACGACCCCGAGGTTGGGGGCGAGGCGCGCTGGGCTGTGCGGCTGACGCGTGGCTCCGAAGCCGCGCGGCCGCCTGAATTGCGGGAGCCCAGCGCGCAGCGCGGCCCGCGTTCCCCACTGCCGCCCGCCCCGGGACCCCCGCCGGTCTGGGCCATCAGTGCACTGCGCTCTGCTCCGGGGGACTCGCTCGCTCCACCCGGCGCTCCAAAGCATCACCAGGGCCGGCGCGCGTAGCCTGAGCCCGGCCTCCGGCCTGGGGGCCTCCCTCGGAGCCCTGGCCGAAAGGGGCGACTCTGTCCCCGCGTCCTTTCTCTGCCAATTTGCGCAAATTCCCGTTTCGGGGCGCCATGTTTTAAGTTACTCCAGGGGTTGGGGGCAAGCGCTAGGGAGCGAGCTTTCCGTGCTGGGAGGTGCGGAGGGCGGGGGGCGACACTGCGGCGCCGCCCTGGGCGTGTGGCCCGCTGCGGGAGGGGCCCTGCGCCCAGCGACTGCGGGCTCATCCCGGGTGCAGTCGCTGGCGGGTGCGGCGTGGGACCGGTAAGGTGCGCGGGGCACAAAGCATCCTTGCTCCACAGCGGAGCTGACCGCTTTTATGTAACTTGCTTCTTCCCCAAACTGGGGCAGCGTCCCTGGTCGGCAGCGGGAGCACTGCCCGGCAGTGGGGGTGGGGGAGGGGGGAGGAGAGAGAAGCGTCAGAACGAGGTTTCTTCGGGTCTGGGCACCTGCGGGTCTCCTAACCCCTGCCTCCTCCCCGCGGGCAGGCCCAGCCCAGGGCGCGGCAGGGTGCTGCTCACCTGGCGCCTGCTGCCTGCCGCGCTGCGAGCTGCCTTGGGAGGTGTCTGCGAAGGCGGCTCTGCGGCGGTGGGGGTGGGGAGGCCGGGACTTGGGACCGCTGGAGTCGGGGTCTCAGCCAGTTCGGACTAGTGTTTCCTGGCTTTTTCCGCAGGGGCTCGCTTTCTCGGGTTTCCTGTCTTAATCGCGCCCTACTTCTTCCTTACCCCCTTCCCTCTCCCCACTTCTCACCCCCGCGCCAAGTTCATGGCTTCTGCAATGCGGTGGGTGTGGTTACCTAGTAAATTGTAACTGTGGTCCTTTGCGGTGGGGAGCATTCTTTCCCTTTCTCAGATGTAGGGATCTGAAGTTTACTAGGGGTTTTTCCTGCCTTTGCAGGCCAGGGTTAAAGTTGGGAAGAGATTGTTGCGGAACAAATAGAATGATAAAGAAAACATGTGGTATTAATTACGTGTGGAGGCTGGGCTGGGAAATCCTGAGAGGGCCAGGCAGTCCTGCTAATGCAGTGCTTCCATTACGTGTTTAAGTTGGTGTTTCAGCTTTTTTACATTAGTCTTGCGGAATTGCTTTTGCAGATATCCTTCCTGTCCTTCTTTTGGGCCCATTTTAGGGTCTCTGAGGCATCCAGGTGTGCTGGAGTTTGTCTAAGTAGCATTAACTTTCCAAGTAGAGGAGTAGTCAAGCCAAATGCTAAAAACATTCTTTTTGAAATTTGCACTGAGTTTTAAAGGCTCAAGGAAACAAAATGGTAAACTCCACGTATATCTGGGAGTCATATATCTGGGAGCCATGAACCTAGCACCAATTACAACAAAGGAACACATCAAAGCCTAGTGAATGTTGGGCCCTGGGAGGTGATTTATATCTTAGCTCAGAGAGGGTATTTATTTTTTTAAAAAAGTATGTTAATTTTGGCATCAAACTTTTAAAACCTTATTTGGAGTAACAAAATTATTATGAGAGGAAAACAATTCTAGACTAGAGAAGCGTGACTTTAATGTGTTAATTTGCAAGGCACTAATAAACACTGTCTCTTTGCATTATGATTTTCTGATGATTTAGGAAAGAAAAATAATTAGATGCACAAATTATTGCATAAAGTTTAGCTACAACACTTAAGCAAGTCACTTTTGTGAATAAAAAACAAACCCATGTTTTGTAAATGATTTATCAGTGTCAAGAGTAGCCACTTTAATTCATAAACCCTTTTTAAGTGAAGAACTGAGGAGCTGTAGGTCAAAGGTCAGCATCTCAGTGAAATATTTACATTTAATTTTTAAGTCATTCCTTTTGCATGAATGTGATTTAGGTTAAAAGCAGTTTTTGTCACCAATTTTGCCTGGTGCTTGGACTTGGGCCAACTTTGATTTGTGTCAGAATAATTAGATCAATGATTTTTTAAAAACTTGATCAGATGCAAACATTTACATATATATTGCCCTTTAAAAACTGATACATCAGATGCATTAAGGAACCACCTAAGTAGAAGAGGGGCAACAATCCAAGTCTTAAAAGAGATGATGTTATCATCATTTTGTGGCTTTTTTTTCTGAATTTACCATATATTGGATTAAGTGTGGCAGGAACTTTCTGTACAAGTGTGTTCTTCCTTGTTGTAGAATGTGCATTTATCTTTTAAGTTAATGCTTTTAAAAAGTTTCAGAATTGACAAATTAGAATTCATGTCCCTCACCAGTAATATAGAACTTCAAGGGTAGAGTGAAACATAATGTGGTTTCTTTCTTTTAGAATTTGACTAAAATGAGAGAGGTTTCTTAAGTAGTACCCCCTGATCATCTTTACTTCTCACAGTCTTTTCCAAGTACCCCATTAGTTTTCCCTTTTGGATGTCAACTTTATTATGGAGCATGGATGCACCATTGAAAACCATGAATCAAATTTATCTTTAGCACCACTTCATTTAGAGAGATCCTTAATGGTGCAATTGCAGCATCTATTTCTTTCAGAAGGCTTGCTAGCTGCTAATTTGTTGGGAATTCATCAGACACGCTGGGCTCCTGGAGGATTTTACTGTCATTTGATTTGCTCTGGCTGTATAGAATTATGTGCTCAGAAGCAAGGACTGGAGCAGTGAAGTCATTGCCCTGGTTGGTGTTGTGACATCACTGTGGCTCAGAGGAAACAAGGGTGGGGCAGGCAAAACCAGACTGTCTGAAGCATCTTCCTGGCTTTAACTTTGCCTGATGAATGAATGAGACTCTTTTCTCACATTGAACTTCGCCACAAGGTATTGTTTGGAGAATTGGACCAAAAGAGTGAATATAAGACTGCATGGGAGAATATGTCTCAAAGATCAAGGAAGAAGAGGTTTTTGGTTAAACAGTAGCAATTATTGAATATTCCTTTTGTGAAGGAAAATACTATAATTTAAAAAAATTATCTAAAGAATCAGAATAATGAGTCAGTATTTTAATAATGCATTGAGTCAATCTGTTTCTTACTGTTTTTTGCACCAAAATAAGATTCTTGGTTTAAATTCTTGGGGTTTTCTTTTAAAAGTACATAGTCTGTTTAAAGGTACAGTTCATTTTCTGGGTAAGCAGTGTTCTTTCTCATTTTTTTTAAGTGATGTGCTTACAGTTGGTAATGGAAAAAAATTTAAAGCTTGGGGTTTCACAAGTGTAGTGAGTGATACCTGCAGTAATTTGAGGTAATTGATTGCCATTTAAATTTTTGTTTTATTTGCTAATTATTTTATAATTTAGCATTTTAATCCTCATTTAGAATTCTAGTGCAGAGATCTGAGACATGTTTCTCTCAAATTAGTGTTGCATAAATTATAAAAGGAAGAACTGAGATTCTGAAACTATTAAGTACATCTGATGTTTTGATTTCTGAATTTATCATATGTATAAAAATATGAAGATCTACAGAGCAGCTGTAGATGTTCATTGTCTTTTCTATATCTCATTGCTAAGATGACTGTCAGTTTTTCATGTGGAGGATATTACATATATGAGAGCTCAGGGCAGATTTCACTAAATTGTGTAGCTTTTCCAAATCAAAAGAAAAAGAGAAAAAAAATGGGAAGGATGGTGGAAGTAGAGAAGTTGAAATTAGGTACCAGAACTGCAGATCTCTTGGTAGAAATGTCTTGGGTACTACATTTTTAGACCTCCAGATGATTGGTTAAATTGCACACTTTAGGATTGTAAGCTTCTATTAGCACCAAACCTCTAATTCTTTTGTAATTTGCAGTATAGAGAAAAAGCTGACAATTTAATTTTAAGATTGCTGACATTTTGAGGCATTGTTCTTATAGCTCTTCCTTACAGATTCAAAAGGGTTGGGGGAAAGGGGAGAAACAGAAAGGTCTATATTAGACATAGAAAACAAATGCAATATTTAACCTGCCTCTTGTGTTTTTTTTTCTTCCAATTACACTGAGTGAGTGCCTGATGTGGGTGGGAACTTCTCCTTCAGCTTTTGTCCCCAAACCAAGCAGACATTGAAACCCCTAAAGTATTGAGTAAATATTTATGGAACTGAATAAAAAATGAGGCCATTTGTGACTTATGGTGCACTTTAGGGGAAAAAAAGATGGGATGGCTTAAGAAGCGCTGTGGTGTATGTAAAAATGCGAATTACCATGCTCACGCATGCAGTCATTATTTTTAATAGCAGGATCCTCTTCATAAGAAACTCTGGTCCTCTGTCTGTAGCTCCAATTATGTAACTTCTAGAGGTTTTTCCATATCAGAGAAGAGAATACTGCAGGTATTAAGATGAAAAACATTTTTAAAAAAGAATGGTTTCTTTGAGGGGAGTACTGCAGGGGGTTCTGTGTCCTCCCCTGCCAGCTCTAATTGGTGTCAGAGAGGACATCAGTGTAGGGGGAATACTCAGAGAGGAGGGGAGGAAGCAGATGGGAGGGCGACAAAAGCTGAAATGGATTAGTGCTGGAAGATGGTATTGATCCTAGTGTTGAACTAAAAAAAGGAAAAAAATTCTTTTCTGTTGTAGATCTCTCTTTTGGGGCTTTGGTACCTATGGTTTTACATTGTCATATAGTTTCCATGTATTTTATTCAGGCCTTAAATTTCATCATTTCTGAAAACAAACTTATTTCTCCCACATTTAACATCTCTGAAGATGGGATATGTTTTACAAGACCATCATGGCGGAGAAGAAGCTGATAGTCCAATTCATTTGATTGTGAATGTGTATCAAAAATTGGACATTGGAGATCAGCTGATTGGAAGAAAGTCCTGAAGACAGTAATGGAGCACTCTTTTTAGAAATAATACGGTTCCTGTGCTCTTGGGGACACAGAAGATGGTAACATGCAAAATCATAAAGAGTAGTGATTCTGAGTGGGCATGCAGGTTGGGGGAGTTGGATTCTGTATGTGTGAAAAATTTTAGGAGCCCCTAGAACATTTCATTTGCTTAAATTTTCCTTATGCATGCATTGAATACCTAGATAAGTCGAAAAGTTTTTTAAGCGGAAAATTCAAATTGCAGTCTTTAAAAATGTGTGAGTCATTGCTCAATTGGCAGAGTGCTGCATCGCATGATGTTATCTCTTACCACCAATGATGTCATGCCTTTCATGAGATATGGTTTGTCACTTTTATGAAGTAGGGCAGTTTTCTATCACTGTAACATAGCTGAGATAATCAACTTAAAAAGTAGAAAAATTTATCTGTGCTCACAGTTTTGGAGGTTTCCCTCCATGGTCACTGGCCTGTTGCTTTTGGGCTTGTGGTGAGGCAGTGGTGGAGCAAAGCTGCTCACCTCCTGACTACTAGGAGCCTAAAGGGCAGGGAGGGGCAGGGTCCCAAATTGGGCTTCAAAGACAGAACCCCCAGTGACCTGACTTCCTGCAACTAGACCCCACCTCTAAAAGGTTCCATCACCTTCCAGTAGTACCACAGGCTGAGGGAGACTCATGGCCCTGTGGGAGACATTTCATATCCATACTGCAGCACTTAGCTGTGCTAGCTTTCAAAAAATGATTTATAATATTAAGTGCTTATTTACAGGGTCAATTGTATGTGTTAGTAATTATGTTTCCTAAGTGCCTCATTTTATAGGAGAGATATGTTGAATGATGTTCGTTTGCTATTTTGATCTTTGGTAGATAGTTAGATTTTGATAGAAATTAGTTCTTGAGAAGACATTCTGGATGGGGCTTGCCGGAACTAGCTGGAGTGTAGCCTCTATGCTGGGGAGTAGTGGGAGATGATCTAAGGAGGGAGGCTGTGGCCTGATTGTAGAAGGTTTTGTGATATATTGCACTTCACTAGATAGTGGGGAGCCATTGAAAGTGGTTAACTAGGGAAGAAAAATGTGTATCTAATCATAAATGTAGCACAAATTGCAAAGTTTGGAATATAGAGACAGATGGTCTTTTG